GGCAGAGAGCAACAAGACACAGGAGAAGCAACTAATACTAATGAACACAGAACTAAGGAACCAAAGACCTGAAACTAAGGATATGTGGAAATACTACACTAGGAAAATAAAAAAGAAAACAAAGTACAACATAAAACCAGAACAGGAAACTCAAAAGGAAACATAAAACACTGGGCAACAGAAACTCAAATACGAAGAAAGAGATAAGGCTGATCATTAGCCAGCCTTGCACCCATAAACAGGGAATATGCCATCCATCAGGCAAACACTCAACCTGTAGAGCCATGTGGCAAGCTGAGAAACTGGCAGAGCACACTGGGGCTGAAGGACAAGAGACAGGGTGTAGAACAGGACAAGAAGGGCAGGGTTGGATGGGTGCTGACCCTGATATTGCTCCCTGCACACTCTCTGTGGGCTGTGGCTCAGTGTTTGCCTTTCTTACTACAGGCTCTGTCTACTCATTCACTGCTCCCTGCACACTTTGTCTGATGTGTCTGATACACCAGGAGCTAACATCAGAGTAGACATACACTACCAGTCAAATGTTTTTGCAACTTTTCTTTTATTTCATAAACTGTTGATGTTTTATTCTTGTTGAGCATTGGAAAGTTGAGTGAACAAGTATAAATGAAAATACAAGTCAAATGTTCATGTTTCCTGTATAACATGGAAAAAGTATGTAAAAATACTAATTAATTGTTTCATCTCATGAAAAGTAGTGTTTAATGTCCCTTGTAGACAGAATGCCTTGAATTTTCTCTGCTGTTTTAACTGCTAGAGGTTACTGGATGAATCCAAGATATGACATATTCTTTCTAATAAAAGTACTCAAATGGCAAACATACTGTAACTTTATTTGTTAGCAAAGAATATTGCTTGTATTTTTAGTAAATGAGCGTCATATCATGGCAGGGAAAGAGGCGAGGGCAGGCATAGGGAAGAACAGAAAGTGAATTTTTTTTTTTTTTTTCATATCCCTTTATAAACACTGCTATTTATACATTTTTACAGACACCTTCTGCTCGTGAGGTAACTACTAAATGTTCTTTGTTCACTCAGCATCACTAAAGTGCCTCTTCATTGTTTAAGGAGAAGTGTTAGATGCTAGATGATGTTCATGGACGAGGATTTTCTTCATGACAAAATGCTAATCAATTTTTTAAAGACATAAGACATGTCCATAAACTGCCCTTCTGTTTCAAGTGAAGGAGATGGCACCTGATCAGTATTTATTAAAACATGTTTTATAATCATGACCTAAATCCAGTACTATACATAGATTCCAGAACTGTCAGCTATATATTTATTTCACCCAGATGTAAAAGGAGCTTAAACTTATCTGGGACATATCATGCATGCAATCTAAAAAAGCCTGGATGAAATTTACATACCTGTTTTCTATACAACAATGTGAAATAAAATCCTCCCCCTTCCATGTGATCCTCTTTGTGCAGCCAAACTCTTGAGTATTTCAGTTTATGAATAGGTCAACAGGTAACAGCAGAATACATTTGAAGTCAGTCTGAGCTTCCAATACAGAGATGGGGGGGTATTTTGACAGGGAAGAAAATCACATTTTGCTGCCATGTTGCACTTGATAACTGTGCATTTTACATATACAGCACCCTCCAAAATTATTGGCACCCCTTGTAAAGATTTGTAAAAAGGGTTAGAAAAAATCCACCTGAGTCACACTGAAAAACTTTGAAAAATCCAACCTTTCATTGAAATAGATTTATTGCAAGAAAAATTCCTTCATCAAGAAATAACTATTGTTACGTAAATCACATTTGCCATGATTATTGGCACTCCTGCTTTTAATATTTTGTACAGCAGAGTCTTCTCTTATAACATTTTATGAGGTTGGAGAAGGGGTGCCAATAATTGTGTAGGGTGCTGTATTGTTTAATGAAGACATTCTTTATTAAAACCATTTTAGGTGCAATTAAATCATGCAAAAGATGAAAAAAATACTTACTCGTCACCAATTTGAGAGTACTAAAGTAAAAAAAGAATCAAACTAGGAATAAAAATTCAAGAATGGTTGATGGTTAAATTATGCAAAATAAAACGTAAAAATGCAAGATACAAATCAATTGATGGCCTTTAGTGACAGACACCACACCCAGTGTGCAGTGTTGCACATTGAGAAAAATACTGCGGTCTCACTGAAGACAGGAAACACACGCCCTCTGATGCAAAGTGGAATTAGGAACAAAGCAAGCAATGCAATTGTGCAACAATT